GCCCTGCCTTTCTCATGATGTGCTCTGCATATAAGTTAAATAGGCAGGGCGACAGTATACAGCCTTGCTGAACTCCTTTCTCAATTTTGAACCAAACAGTGGTTTCGTGTCCAGTTCTTACTGTTGCTTCTTGACCCGCATATAGGTTTCCCAAGAGAAAAATAAGATGGTCTGATACTCCCATCTCTTTAAGAACTTGCCACAATTAGTTGTGATCCACACAATCAAAGGGGTTAGCATAGTCATTGAAGCAGAAGTAGATGTTTTTCTGGAACTCCCTAGCTTTCTCCATGATCCAGCATATGTTGGCAATTTGATCTCTAGTTCCTCGGCCTCTTCAAAATCCTGCCTGTATTTCTGGTAGTTCTCCGTCCACATACTGCTGGAGCCAAGCTTGTAGAATTTTGCACATAACTTTGCTAGCATGTGAAATGAGTGCAATGGTGTGGTAGTTTGAACATTCTTTGGCATTGCCCTTCTTTGGGATCAGAATGTAAACTGACCTTTTCCAATCCTGTGGCCACTACTGAGTTTTCCAAATTTGCTGGCATATTGAGTGTAGCACTTTAACTGCATCGTCTTTTAAGATTTTGAATCGCTCAGCTGGAATACTGTCACCTCCACTAGCTTTGTTGTTGCTCAGACTTCCTAAGGTCCATTTGACTTCACATTCCAGGATGTCTGGTTCGAGGTCTGTGACCACCCCATTGTGGTTATCAGGGATGTTAAAATCTTGTATAGTTCTTCTGTGTAAACACTCTTTTCCAACAACCCAAGAGATGACTCTACACATGGACCTCACCAGATGGTCAACACAGAAATCAGATTGACTATGTGCTCTGCAGCCAAAGATGGGGAAGCTCTATAGTATAGAGTCAGTATAATATATAGTATAGAGTCTATACAGTCAGTAAAAAGAAGACCAGGAGCTGACTGTGGTTCAGATCATGAGCTTCTTGTTGCAAAATGTAGGCTTAAATTGAAGAAAGTAATCTTGCCACCTCTTCTTAATCTCTTCTGCCTCTGTTAGGTACCTGCCATTTTTATCCTTGATTATGCCCAAGCCCCTTTGCCATGACAAGGCAGTGATCCATGAAGGGGTTGGAAATGCCAATGGTGGCTAAAAGTTTGCAAGAAACTGAAACCTGTAGCTAGGTGGCCCAATTGCATGATACATTTAGGATGAAAGTGATGATAAACATGGCAATGGGCTTCTTTGAAGCAGTTTGTATGATTTATTTATTATTTATTACATACATTTATATCCTGTCCTATTGCTTTTAGTGCTCAGGACAGCTTGGAAGATATTAAAAAAATACAATAAATATAAAACTACTATAAAACATTTATTATTAAAACAATATAAAATATATCACAATAAAATGTGACTGAAAAAGGGGGAAAATAAAATCCTAAAACATCTAAAAACATTAATTGTTAAAATAATGATCAAATAAAAAGGTCATTACCTGGTGCTGGAAAGAATATAATGTCAGTGTTTGGCGGACCTCTCTGCGGAGCAGATTCCATAGTCTGGGCGCCACTGCGGAGAAGACCCTCCTCTGGTAGATGCCCTCTGTACTTTCTTCAAAGAGGGTTCCCAGAGCAAGAACTCCCCTGCTGATATTAAGGGGCATGAGGGCTTATAGCCATTCCTTACAGTAGTCCGGACCTAAGCTGTTTAGGGCTCTATGGGTTAATACCAGCACCTTGAATTGGGCCTGGACTTTCTTTGGGAGCCAGTGTAGCTGATAAGAACTGGAGTTATGTGAGAATAATGACCGGTCCCCGTCAGCAACCTGGCGGCTCTATTTTGTACCAATTGAAGTATCCAGACCGTCTTCAACGGCAGCTCCACATAGAATGCATTCCTGTAATCCAACCGGGAAGTTACCAAAGCATGTACCACTGTTGCAAGGCAGTGTTCATCCAGGTAAGGACACAGCTGATGAACCAGCCAAAGCTGGAGGAAAGCGCTCCTCCCCACCGCCATCACCTGGGTTTCCATGTACAGCTCTGGGTCAAGGAGCACTCCCAAGCTGCAGACCCTGTCCTTTAGAGGGAGTGCTACCCTGTCCAGTACAGGACCAAAATCACTTACCTGAAGATCCAAACCGCCCACCAACAGGGCCTCTGTCTTACTTCGATTAAGCTTCAGTTTATTGGCCCTCATCCAGCCCATTATCTTGGCCAGGCACCAATTCAGGGCAGCCACTGCCTCACCTGGATTAGATGTAAACGAGACGTAGAGCTGTGTGTCATCAGCATACCGGTGACTCCACAGCACAAACCTCTGGATGACCTCTCCCAGCAGTTTCATGTAGAAGTTAAATAGCAAGGGCAACAAGATGGAGCCCTGCAGTACTCCATGGCAGAGTTGCCATGGTGCTGAGCCAAAGTCCCCCAGCACCACCTTCTGGAATCGGCTGGCAAGGTAGGAGTGGAACCACTGCCAAGCAGAGCCTCCTACTCCCAACTTGGCCAGTCTAGCCAGAAGGATACCATGGTTAATGGTATCAAAAGCCACTGAGAGGTCCAGAGAAGCAACAGGGACACACTCTTGTCCCTCTCCCTTCACAGGTCATCCTACAGGGTGACCAAGGCAGATTCAGTTCCTAACCGGGTTTGAAGCCAGACTGAAATGGGTCCAGATAATCCGTTTCATCCAAGATTCGGCTTGTGAGTTTTAGTTAGAAAGAAACCAAATTGTACTGCCATGTAGTGATTTTGTTCAAGTGATGCTCTGTGCTGGCATGTGCTCTTTCAGTTCATTCCTGACTTCTTTCAGGAAGCACTATAGGTACTTACCAAGTCATGGTTTTCTCAGTTCTTGGCTGTTTGTTTGCTTCCTCCCTGTATCTTAAACACCATTGCAGAAATGTAATGCTGTCATGTAGAGGGGCTGGAGGTTTTTACACCTCCCTGTGCTTCTGCACTGCAGCTGATTAAACAATCCATTAGTTAAGTTCTGAGTTCTATGATCACATATAACAATGATCCACAGTTTATGCAGCCTTGTCCACAATCCAGTAACTAGCCTATGTTTCATATGCTGGGCTCAGTGTGAGTCATGAAATGTGGTGGGCACTGTTTTGAATATGGATTCCCTATTGGGGTTGTGGCATCTTGTCCTAAACTGTCTATTGGGGGTTATGCAAGGGCTAACAACAAACTAAGGATTACACAAGAGGTGCTTAACTCTCAGGAAACACTTGATACCAAGGTTTGGACAATGCTCTGCAAGCCATTGGAGTGACATTGGAATGGCTCATCATGGGTTATATAAGTCATGATAAGCCCAGTGTGTCACACAAACCACATCACTGTGCATTATTTTTCTGGGTTGTTTGTGGCTAACCATTGTTGGTTAGCACAGCTGAGTTCAACGACCCATGTTATAGGTTAGGGTTAAGTGTGAACCCAGCCAGTACCTTATATGTTGGCTTTGTTCAGAATTTAAGATCATTTAGTGTTTTGTTTTGTTTTGGTTTTGTTTTGTTTGTTTGCAGTTGCTGTTCCCTTCAAGAGTGGGAATTCTGTATGGGAGTTATCCACCATTTGCCACCAAGACTGTTAGGGAAATGAGGAGTTGTTTGTGATGGTTTAAATCTGTTGCAAACCCTTTCAAATATGTATTAGTGTCTTCATCTCATTTTGTTTGGATACTGTGCAGTTGCTATTCAGACGTTACTTATAGTATTTTATCCTACTGTTACACAAATGCTGTCTTCCAAAGTGGCCCATATCAATGAGAGAAGGAGAGAGAGAGAGGTCCTGTCATCAGGTGAAACACTGAAAGGAGAAGTTATGCAAGGGAAGGGGAATGGAGAGCTAAGGAAGAGGAGTCAGTTTTCCAAGGCTTAAGTAGACTCATAAGCAGATAGTATATCCTGTTTAGGCCAGGGTGACCTTTCCTTGCTGAGATTCTTGCTTTTGTTGCTTTGGCCTGGGTGAGTCTGTGCCCTCTTTCCTCTTAGCTCTGCAGTTGTTGGGGAACTGCCCTTTGGAGCCAAGTGTTCTTTCTACCAGGGAGAAGAAAGCAAGTTGCTGCAGCTTTCTGCTCATCTGCCCAGTAGGTGGGGAAATTTGCTCTACCTTGGGTTGATGTGCTTGGGAAGGAAGAGGTGCTGCCCAGCAATGGACCAACAGCTAACCATGGAAGAAGGATTCAGCATGTGGTGTTGGCTGTCTTGAAATGCACATAAGGGTTTGAAGCTTGGTTACTCTCATTCTGTGAGACATTGAGTAAAACAACAAATTGCTTGGCAAATTGACTGAAACATTGTGTGTGTGTAACTATGGCCAACTTTGGGAAGAAGTGATTTCTCTCTAGGCAGACTGCTTGGTGCCCCCAGAACGTACCTGTGGCAATGAGGTCTCTGCTTTCTTTTCCTGGACAATCTGTATTGAGATATTTTGGTTTGCCAGGCAGAAAAATTGGGTCCGTACTACTTTGGTTGAGAAATGGATTGTTCCTTTGGCTGTGTGGAGTGCTGACTCTCAAGCTGATTTGTTCTTGCTGCCCTGCTGTGTCCAAGCACACATGGATTCTTTGCTGGCAAGAGCCTTCTACATTGGGAAATGAGAGCATGCCCTTGACTAGCTGTAGTGCAGAGGCTTCTGGGGTGATCCTGACATGCAAGGCAGGAGCCCATTAAGAAATGATTTGTTCTTCTCCAGCTAGTGTGGAGAAGTGTGAAGGGGCACAGGAAAAAAGACCTTGGGTATGTGATGTATTTTATAGACTCACCAGTTGCTCTAAAGAAGCACTTGGGGAAACTGCGTTTTCTGATTTTTCTAATGCAACTGGTGGGCCTGGTGAGACGAGGATTTTTCTGATGCAAAGGGCTCAGATGTGATCCTAAACACACTAAGAGGTAAACTCTGTTCAACAAAGTGGGCTTTTGAGTAAACATAGAATTGTGCTGTGTTGCTAAGAAGCAGTGATATAGTTTACAAAAGATGACCGTGGAATGGTTCAAATGCGAGTCCAAGGAACTAGGAATGATATATTGTTCTGGTGTGTTCTTTTTGATTGCATGTGCTGATGCAAAGCATCTGTGGGTTCATTAATCAATAGCTTCCTATTTCTTTCAAATCATAAAATAAGACTAGACGAATAGTTATTGGGTTTATTATTGCCTGACTTTAAACTCCAGTTTTCCAGTTTGGAACCAACAGGAAACTGTGGTTCAGTCCCAAAGAGTTTTTGTATCTTTGCACAGCACACAGTTAAACTATACAATTCACTTCCACAAGATGTAGTGGTGACCACCAATTTGGATAACTGTAAAAAGAGACTGGGCAAATTCATGGAGGAGATGTGATTAGTGGCTACAAGTACCTCTAGTCTCATAGACAGTATGCTTAGGTACACCAGGTGTGGGGACCACAGACAGGAGTGTGTTGTTGCACTCCTGTCCTGCTTGTGAGTTTTCTGTGAACATCTGGTTGGCCACTGTGATTGGAATGCTGGTGTGATCTGGAAGGGCTATTTTTCTGTCCATATTATTGTAATAGAGAAGGAAGCACAGAAGCACAATGCTCCTTCCTGGTAAGTAATCCAGGGCTTACTGGGCCAAGATAATCAGGTCTGAACTGGGTTAATATGTCTGGAACAGAATTGTGTTCCAAAGCTTATCTGTGGATTCACTTATGTCTGGGAATGTCTCAGCTGTTCAGAATGTCTTAGCTATTGTGACCTGCTTATCTACCTCATTGGATTGTGAGAATGAACAGTTCAAAATCTAGGAATCTATTTTTAATATATGGAACAACATTTATAAAGTTTTCCAGCATCTTGCAAGGAACACTGAGGGCGGGGGTCACCTGGAGATTTCAGGCTGGTGTCCTGCTGATGCCAGTTCTACTTTTCAGATTGCTGTCAGGTAGAAAACACTGATGTTCTTGGACACAAAGACTGGTCTCTTAAATCAGTGGAGACTGTGTCTTCCAGGAGAAAGGAAACTTCTTGGGCAGTGGAGAGGTGTTGCTTGTCTGAGGGGATAATACTGGGCCTGATTCACTGCAGTGTTACAGATTATAAGTGGCTGGCTTAAGAATTGTATAACATCAATAGCTGATGCCCAAGTTCCTTCTTTTACCTCTTTATGCTCTTTGGGTGCTGCATTGTGTCCTTCTTAGATTGTAAGCCTTTTAGATTTTTTTGACTGAGGGGTAGGAGATGATCTTGGTTTTACTGATCTGGAAGACTGTCCACATGAAGAACAGAGTGTAAAATGTAAGCTTTAAAAATGATGTACTTGGAATATGAGCTTCAGGTGGGCATCAGTGGAACCACATTGCCCTGGCATGCTGTGGAAATGATTGTGGCAGCAAGGGCATTCTACCAGTTCTCGTGAAGGCCAACATCAAGCAGACTTCTCCCCTGACCATTGCCCCATGAAGTGCTAGTCCACTGGGCTGCAGCGAGGGTGGGGGGAGAGACAGAATGGGCGAGCAAGGCCATTCACCAGCTTTGTTGAAGATCATTTGCTTTATTTGATTTTCTTCCCTTTTTGTGACTTGCATTTTTTAGATGGTAAGCATGCAGGCAGGGGATAACTTGTCTCTGATATGGAGTATGCTGTTCTGGGAGAATTTTGGGGCAGGGATGGAGTAGAAATACTCTGAATGCATATACTTAGTCGACCTATCAGATATTTTTCCACAGGCTTGTGCAGACACCTGGATTTGCCTCTGGAGAAGGGGGATTGGGAAACAGTCTTAAGAGGTTTTGTCTCCATCCCTTGAAGTTGCCAATCATGCACTGGAAACTTTTTGTTGTTCATGGGAATGGAATTGGGCATCTTAAGTTTGGTATAACCAACCATGAACAACCTTTTGCTTTAGCTTTTTAAAGGTTATTTACAGAAATGCTGACATGAAAGCAAAACTGGTGTCAAAACTGAGAAAGCTAAAGCAGTTGACCTAACCGGCGTGGTGATTTCTCTTGCAAGTATATGTGAAGTACAGCAATTTAATGCATCTTTTTGATAGCTGTTGACTGTCCTGATGAGATTGGTGGCTTTCTCCCAACTATGTTCTTTTACAGATGGAAGATGGTCACTCCCTGTTTGATTACAGTGTTGGCTTGAATGACATTGTTCAACTGCTGGTAAGGCAAAGCCCTGCCCTCCTGCCTCTGGCTAACAAAGAAAAAGACCCTGAACTTTCGGACACGGACTCTGGCTGCAGCTCAGGCCAGAGCGACTCTGATAAAAGCTCCAATAATGGGGAAGGGGCTGTGGAGATGGAGGCGCAGCCCAGCACAGCGACTCAGGCTGACTTGATGGACCCAGGCTTTGGATTCTACAAGGTGAGGTGGTTCGGGTATGAAGTGCAGAGCTCTTTTTTTAATGGGCAGTGTTTGTGTACTGCAAGTTAGAAACAGAAAAATGTTGGTCAGACAATATGAGAGCTATCTTATCTGGGTGGATAAGCTGCCAGCATCTATGTTGTGCTGCAAATTGATGGCATACCTGCTTCTGTTGTGTTTTATGATGGGAGAAGAGTGTTGCCTGTGCTAAGGGTCTTAAAGGGCGGCCACCAGTGATGCATTGAGTTGAATTGCATGATCCTCCTCGGTTCTTCTTCTGCTTGAAGACACACACACACTCAACTCACACATTTCACTTTTTGAAACAGCTTGTTTCCAGCTTAGTGTTCCTGACAGCAACTCAGTAGTTTGACTCTCTTTTAGATCAATGAGCTGGTGGATGCCCGGGACACGAGCATGGGGGCCTGGTTTGAAGCTCAAGTTGTCAATGTGACCCTGAAGGGAAAGTCAGCCAGCAAGGAGTGCGATGAAGAACCTGAGCTGCAAGAAGCTGTCCTTGAGGAGGACATAATATATCATGTGAAATATGAAGAGTGAGTCTTTTAAACTACTTTTTTGGCTCCTGGCAGTGCCAATTGTGGCTGGGACTTAGTCAGATTTGCCCTTGTTTGTCCACTAGGGTATGTTGGACGTTGCTGTCCAGCAAGGCCCAGCTGCTTTCCCAAGCGTGGAGCTGGAAGAGTAGCACGGCTTGTCCTGGCACTTGTATGACAATCCTCGCCCCCTCCCCAGCTCCAAGGCTGGAAGGAATTTTACTACCACTACTGTTTATTACAGTGCTGCACAGTAGTCAAAGCTGTTGGGTTTCCTGGCATTTTGCTTTGCCACGGAGGCGTGCGTAGCATCTTGTACATACTCCTCCAGGTGGCATTGTAAGGAATACCTACTTTCTGAGCAGGGATTTTATACCAGGAGACTCACAGCAAATTTCAGGAAGAAACTCTGGCAAACAAACTTAATCTTTCCTATTAAACAGGAGCAATGCAGAGAATGCTCCCTGTTGCCAGCAGCTCCTCTGCAGCCAATTTAATGTTCCTCCTGCAGCATTAAACTGGTTGCAGTGATGCAGGTTTAATGCCTGTAAATTGCGCCCAGTGCTGGCTTGGCACTAGCAGGAAATTCTTCTGCTTGTACTATTGTAGACAGCTTGATACTGTAAGTTCAACCCCCCCATGCTGTACCCCAGATAGTTTGAGTGACCCCCAATCTTCAGCAGTCTGGGGGTACCGCAGAGGCCTGTGGTGCATGGGCAAGGGACTGGCACAAGCGGGGTGTCCAGCTCATACAAGTGTCTCTGTGTTCTGGCAGAGCAGGGGTGGGGATCCCTGGGCCTGTGGACTGGATATGGCCACCTTGTAGACCCTAGCTGACCCTCTGACTCTCCCCAGAAGGGCCCATTCCCTTGCTCCAAACCATATCATATTTGGCTGTTTCCAAGTTTTTGTGCAGGTTTTCCCATTTTCAGAGTTAGAAAAGGTTCTCTTAGAGCTTTGTTACTGGCAAGAAGAACTTTAACAAGATAGTGGGCATGATTTGTATTTTGGGCCCCATCTTCTTTGACTTCAGCTGCAATAACCATGGGATTGAAGTGCACAAAAACTTATCTGAAATAGAATCTGGCTCTTAGCGTGTCCCCCCCGGCCATCTGAGAGTTAGAGCAAACACCACCACTGAAAGCACCTAATCTGAGATGATCTGTGTGGCAATATCAGCTGCAGGAGGATTTGCTCCTGGACTGCTCTGGAGTGGCCCCATAGCAAGGTCCCCAACACCTGCTGTGCTATTCTCAAGTCATTCCAAGGCCACTGTGCAGAGGACATACTTCCTCCCCTCTCCGCCCCCTTTTCTGGATTGGAGCTAAGGATGGGAAGGGCAGCTTTGGCAGTCCGCTGTAGGAGCACATGCAGTTGAACGTTGATCACGACAGACTTTGCAAACCAGTTGTAAAACTCTGATCTTGCAGCTTTCTGAAAATAGTTTTGAATTTGGATTCTTGTCTTGAATTTGTTAAGGTTTTTTTTCCTTTTGCCATCTTATTTGCATTCTGTGTCCTGCAGACCAGTGGTCCCCAGCCTTTTTGGCACCAGGAATGAGTTTTGTGGAAGACCTATTTTCCCATGGATCGGGGTGGAGAGATGGTTTTGGGATGACTAAAGTGCATTACATTTATTCTGCACTTTATTTCTATTACATTGTAACATATAATTAAATAATTATACAACTGACCATAATGCAGAATCAGTGGGATCCCTGAGGCTTGCTTTTCTGCGATTAGATGCAGCTTAATAGCCACTTGCCACTCACTGATACGGTTTTAATATGGGTCTGTCAAGCAATTGATTTATTCTAGTATCTGTGCAGTCAAACCTCTGTGCTAGTGATAATCTATATTTGTAGCTGCTCCCCAGTGCTAGCATCACCCCCTCAACTCTACCTCAGATCATTGGGCATTAGATTCTCATAGGGGTGCGAACCCTATTGTAAACTATGCATGTGAGTGATCTAGGTTGCGCACTTCTTATGCAAATCTAATGACTGGTGATCTGAGGTGGAGCTGAGGCGATGATGCTAGCGCTGGGGAGTGTCTGCACATACAAAGGAAGCTTCGCTTGCTCACATGCAGCTCACCTCCTGCTGTGCAGTCTGTTTCCTAACAAGCCATGGAAATGTACCGGTCCACGGCCCAGGGATTGAGGGTTGGGTTCATTTGCTGTCGGCTGAACTTGTGAGCTTGGACTCACTTCAGTTTCTGTACAATGACCAGAATATTTTCTGTGGTTTTATTATCAGTAAAATATTACTTTGAGTGGTTAATGGAGAGTGGGGCTGAATTACTCTTTTTCTTTTTGATGAATTCCTAATCTCTCCGCACTCCTCTTCAAGCTATCCAGAGAATGGTGTCATCCAGTTGAGCTCCAAAGATGTGCGTGCCCGGGCCAGGACAATCTTGAAGTGGGAGGAGCTAGAAATAGGAGACATTGTTATGCTGAATTACAATCCTGATGATCCAAAGGAAAGAGGATTTTGGTACGATGCAGAGATCCTACATAAACGAGAAACCAGGACTTACAAGGAATTATATGCTAAGATTGTTCTCGGGTAAGTGGTGCACGTGTGTGGGCTGCATCTGACCAACCCCAGAGATGGGTTGCTTGTGCCACTCTATCCTCCATGCCTCTGTCTCCGAGGAGCTCAGCCCAGAGACAGGAGCAGGCATCTGATTTTACGGCAGCAGGCCTTAGAGTGGTAGCCATGTAAATCCCATGCACAACAGAGTCCTGAGGCACCTTAAGGAGTCAAAAAGCGATTTTGTCTTAAGCATTCCTGGACCCCGTCCACTTAAGCTAAAATAAGTCCTTTTTATCTGAAGTGCCAAAAGGCTTTCCAGAGTTTTAGTTGTGTTTTACAACAGAGTTGGGAATGGCACGACAGGACCCTCCGTCAAGCCACCTCACTTCTGACTGTGATGAAAAGCTTGCATGTCTCTGCCCTTAATTGTTTTCTTTATCACAGCGGGTAAGGGGACTGTGGTATGTGCTGAATTGCCGGTTCTGATTTTCAGTGTGGGTTGTTCTTAACATGCTTCCATTTCAGGGATGCTGGGGATACCTTAAACGACTGCCGAATCACGCTTGTGGAGGAAATCTACAAGATTGAAGAGCCCGGGTGTGCCATTCCCCTTACTGCTGAAAGTCCTATAAAAAGTAAGTCCTATTGCTTCAGTTCAGGGGGCTGCCCACCATCTTGCACAGCAGGGTAGCACGTGCTGGCCAAACTTGTGGGTCCGGACAAAAAGATCTCTGAAGCCTGTCCTCTGTTTCCAGCAGATGATCCTTGGAGTTACACTACCTCTAAGCATAGAGTTTTAATTGAGATAGCATGTTCTGTGAAGTGTCACAATCCTTTAAAAAATGTGAACTGGTGCCCATTGCCCCTGCTTTTGGCACTGAGCTGACAGCTCAGAACAAGCACTTCTTGTGGCCTGCTGTCCATTCAACTTGGCGCTGTTTGTGTGTTTCCATTTCTTCAGGGCAGAGCGGGCCAGTGTGTAAACAGTGTAAAGACAACCCCAACAAAACTTGCCGGATATGTGCCTGTCACGTGTGTGGTGGGAAAGAGGCTCCCGAGAAACAGCTCATGTGTGACGAGTGTGACATGGCTTTCCACATCTACTGTCTGAACCCTCCGCTTAGCTGCATACCTGAGGAGGAGGACTGGTGAGTCGCCAGGAATGCCTGAGCTGAGCCTCCAGAGTGTGGGGACCCATATTGGTACTGGGAGGTAGTGCTGAGCTGAAAGTTTCCTGAAAGTCACAAGGCTTGAAATCACCTCCCCTTTGAAAAAAACTCTTCACCCTACCCTCATGCCTGATGGCATCTCTCCCCAACTCCAGTCCCAGGGTGTTGGAGACCACCCCCCCATTCCATTCCCCAAGCAATCCTAGCCAGTCCGTGATCGTGTACTGCAGACAATGGCTTGACACTGTGTACCAATCAGACCTGGGCATTTCCTGATGCTGCAGAGCAGCACATGGAGTGCATTCAGGGCACGGATGGGGAATACAAACATAGTAAGTTAGAGGGGGCTTCCTCCTGACCCCCAGCTCCAACGGGCTCTGCTCATGACATGCCTACCATACGTGTCCCCCAGATGCTGTTGAACTGTGACATCGGCCCTGCCCATTGTAGCTGAAGGTGAAGAATCAAGAGAGGAAGCCCATGTGCAAACACTGCACTGCACCTTTTGTGGTTGTTCTTGCTGATCTGGATTCAAAACAAATGCTCTCAGAACTCTCCTGCCACAATCCTTAAATAAAAACCCTGAAAGGAAGGGCCCTCTATTCTGATCCATTCTTGGTGTAACAACCTCCTCCCTTCTCTATGTCTCTCAGTAGAAGTGTGTTTCTGCGTTGTTACCGTGCTGAACCCATGGAATTCATTAAGTGTCTTCCACATGATTCCAGTGGATTGTGTTGGTTCTGCCAAATATGGGATGGCTTGATTCCATAAAGGAAGCACAGCCTTGAAATTCAGAGAGCTGAGTCAAATTGATGACACTTAATAACAACAAATTTAGGTCTGGAACTCCAGGCAGGTTCTGCCTTCCTTTCCTTTTACTGCAGCTGAGTTGGGAATGGTTGTGTAGCTACGCGGAGGGATGTGGATCATACTCAAGTTTCTGACTTGAACCGCTGGAACCTGCAGCTGCGAGAGCTGTGGAGGGTCCCTGCCTGGATCCCTGGAGGGCTGCTGGCAGCTTGAGTGGACAGTTTTGGCCTAGGTGGCTGCTGTTACTTGGGTGAGGATTTAGTAGTTGGAGACCAAGTGCAGGATTATTGAGTTGTGCCTCTTTTCTCTGTTTTGCCAACTTTATGCAGCATATGCATGCTTAAAAGTGCAACTGTTTTTCAAAAAAGGCTGTGGTAGAGGTGGAAGTCTTCTCTTGGCTTTATTGTGCCAATCAGGTTGATTCTCCATTCAGAATTGAAGAAATTTGAATTGCTTGTAATTTTGGGGGGAATTGTGCTATTGTATTTTAACAGAATCAGAACCAAATGCCCCTTAAAAAAGTGCAATGTTGGCTTCCTGTTTAATCTTTCATGCCTTAGGTATTGCCCAGAATGCCGCAATGATGCGAGCGAGGTAGTGCTGGCTGGTGAGAAGCTCAAAAAAAGCAAGAAGAAATCTAAGATGGCATCTGCTAACTCCTCCTCTCAGCGGGACTGGGGCAAGGTAGGTGTATCTTGGACTTGCTGACCTGCAGTGCTAAACTCACCATGAAAGTCAGCATCCAAGGAGACCGGCAGTCACCGTAGCCTGCACAGGACAAGTGTCAGCCATAAGTGCCTTGCCTTGGAAACATCTATTTGCAAACCACACAGGGCCAGGACTGCCTCTTGCGTCATGGAGTGCGTAGCTGGGAGGACCCATGGGCTGCTCCTTGAATGTGGCTGCCTTTTCAACATCAAATATTCTCCCGTGCCCAGCAGTGACTTGGTTTGCACACAGCAATATGCTGCTGTGTTATAATCCTGGCTCCTCATGGGGAAGGCAGCCAGAATTCTAGGGTCAACTGTCTTGTTAATGATGCATCCCTGACTTGTTTAGCTGCACCCATTGACAGGAAAAAGCAACCAGGATTGAGCTGTGCTTGCATTGCTGCATGTAAACTGGGTCAGTGGAGCCATGGGCTGATTTGTGGTGGTTTCTCTTTAACTTCTCAAACTTACTTTTAGGGCATGGCATGTGTGGGCCGCACTAGGGAATGCACCATTGTTCCATCAAACCATTATGGACCAATCCCCGGGATTCTAGTTGGGACCATGTGGAAGTTTAGAGTCCAGGTGAGAAACCATATCTGTGTGTAAAAGATGCTTGAAATTAGCAAATATGTAAAAAAAAAAAAAGTCTTGAACTTGGAGGGAGAGAACAGAATCAGGTGGAAAGTTCCTTCTCTTTCACTCATAATCTTAAGAGACCATAATCTCTGAAGCATGGCAATTCTGTGTCCTACTCTTGATATTTTTTCTCTTGAGGTTCCTGCAAGCTTAGTCAGCTGAAGTGTGAAGGGCAATACCCCTTCATTGTGGCAACAACATTGGTTGTTTATTTCACTGTGCACTTGTGCAGCTTGCTGCACAGACTTCCAAAAGCAAGGTGATGAGTGTAGCTAGGAACTGATGGAATTGCTTGAAGGCCATTAGTGATAGTGCTCTGTCCCTCCTTCTCATGGGTCTGTCAGTTACTGGCTATATCCACGTGGACTTACCTGTGCTGAATTAGTGCCCAGTGCCACAGACACATTCCTAAGCAGGGGAGTTGGTATTTCTTCACTCAGGTGAGCGAGTCTGGTGTCCACCGGCCCCATGTTGCAGGTATTCATGGCAGGAGCAATGACGGAGCCTATTCTTTGGTCTTGGCAGGAGGCTATGAGGATGACGTGGTAAGTGATATTATCTGTGCAGATAATTGCACTTTCTCTTGCTCCTTTGTTTCCTAGATGATCCAATGGAAAATTGAGCATTTGTGTTTTAACTGGACATTGCTTAAAGAGGTAGATTAATTCCACTTTTCTCCCCCACCTTCAATCAAACAATTATTCTTAGTTCCATTATAAACTATTTCCTAAACCATCAAGGTCTCTAGTTATTGGCTAATCCATAGCTGACTTGGCTTTCCCTTTGTTACCTCTCCTCATTTAACAGCCAATTATCTTCCCAGTCACAGTTCTGCACCTAGCTAAGATGCAATGAAAGCCAGGGATTACCAGATTTAGACTGCTCAAGCACAATCAGTTAAATAATTAAAAGGTGGTTATATGCTCAAAAGACTAATTCATGGAGGAAGCTGCCCACTGCTTCTCTGCATGTTCTCTTGTCACCTTCCAACACTCCTTGACTGCATAAATTGTGAGTTAATTGCCCAGTATGTGCCAATACAGAAAACTGCTTCCTCTTGGAGGAGGATGCCGATTCTCTGAGTTGTTCTCTGGGCTTCCTGACTTTGAGTTGGGAGTCTGCTAGTTGCAGCAGCAGGAACCTTTATTGGCATAACAGTACAAATCTACGTAAATCCACACAGTCCCACAGAGATCCCCCAAACACAGCATTGCTAATAGGCACTAGATTGGCTCTTTACAATCTCCCATAGAAAGGCTGCTGCTCTCTCCACCATGTCAGCTGACTCTGGATAGGACAAATTGGACCTTTTCCTGAGAATCAGCTCAGAACAGTTTATATAGCGTTTATATATTGTTCATCAGCCATACATGGTTCCCAGAATGGTTTAAAGAAAAGCTGTGCTAAAAAAGGAGATATTCATAACCACAATATGACAACATCCTGCAGCAATTTTATCTCATGTATGAAGAAATGCATCATGGACTTCACTGAGGAGGGGATAGTCATGCTCTTTCACACTTCACAGTGAATTGTTCGGAGTATGAAAATGAGTGTGCCCCTGGATTTGACTTGGGTATATGTGGAGAAATGGTCACTGTGCATTAGAAGTGCTGATCTGGAGTTCCTGGTAGGAGAAGAGCTGTCTGTCCTCTGTGGTTACAAAACTAGGTTTGGGTGAATCATCCAGGAATCAGTTCTCCTGCTTGAGGCAGCCCGACTACAGAATTGAAACAGGGCTGGAAAAATAGGTCCTTGGCTCCAGGATAAAAAGTTCAGCCCAAGCACCAGTTTATTCAGGTGTCTGAGGGTCCCACTGCAGGGGCTCTTTCCAGCCTGGGATTGAATTGTGTGAATATATTCCAGGATCACGGGAATTCATTCACCTACACGGGAAGCGGAGGGCGGGACCTCTCTGGAAACAAACGCACGGCAGAACAGTCTTGCGATCAAAAGCTCACAAACATGAACAGGTGAGGAGCATGGCAGATCCATTCCCAAGGGATTTTCAGAACGTGGGGAACTGCCAGGATCCACGAAATAAGTCTGTTGTCTTTACATATGCCTCCTCCTGAATAGCACTCTTGAGATTCAGAAACCTGCCTGCAGCAATGTCTGGCCACTTTCTAGCTGGCATCTCTTCCATGGGTTTTGCCACACAGCTACCACGCTGGAAAGGTCCTTTCAGCCACAGTTTCCCACTCTTTCCATTGTTCTCTATTCTTGGTCAAAGTAATAATCCTTCCAGTATTTTAAAGTCCTTCTATCATCATTAGAGATGTTGAAGAGAGAATGCAGCTTCCTGCCTGTTTCAGCTATTGCAATAAGAAGTGCCTCCTTCAAGCATATAATGGGAAGTAGCTCAGATTAACTTCTGGGTCTTTCTGTGTCTCTTCTCCCATCACCTATTTTACTTTCATATGGTCTTGGGGATTGCTTGAAACAACTTGCTGATTCCCTGGCACAGTTAAGAATTACTTTGTTATTCTGTCGTTTGACATTCAGTGAGTGAAATGGCAGTTGAAAACATGGAGCCCGTGCTCTCTTCTCTCTGACAAATATCAGGTCAGACTTTGACTCACCTTAAATTCTAGATCCTATGTTTCTTAATCACTGAGAAACAGCAATTGGACCTGAGATGCTGATGATTGCACTGGCTGGTTAGTGAGGTAAAGTGATACTTTGCGGAAGACACCATGAGACATCCCAGTTGATTTGATAAACAGCCTCCTTTCTGCTTCGTTGTTGGCATTTGGGTTGTTTGTATGCCGTGCTAGAACATAGCAATTTTGCATCAAGATGAGAGTTTTACAAATGGTACAACTATATGTTAAGCGCAGATGTGGTATAATGGTTAGAGTATTGGACAGTGACTCAGGAAACCTCAGTTTAAGTGTCACTGAGTCATCCTAATCTGCTTCAGAGGGTTGTTGTAAGGATAAAAATGGAGAGGATGACAACTATGTGAGCCACCCTGAGTTCCTTGCAAAAGAATAAACTGTTGTTGCTTATTCTTTAATCCATTTCTGTATAAATGGAATAAAGAATAGCTGAAGTTCTCTGGGTGACTTACAAACTAGTTAAACAAATAAATAACACATAGTTAGCAATCACAAAACCACCATGACCTAGAGTTGATATCAGGCAGGGTCTCTTTCTGAATACCTGTCTGCCTGCTTTGCCTCTGTGTTCCTGAAGGCTGGGCCACTGATATACCATATTGATACCAAGGGCCAATTTCCCCAGGGACCTGGTGATGTCAGGATGCAGGACCCCACCTTCACATCATTGGGACCTGAACTCTGTTCACTTTATAGAAGGTGAAAGAAGGGAGAAACTTACTTACTAATTCAGTGCTCTGAGGAGCTGGCTGAATTCTGGTTGTCATGACACGGCCAGCATTTTGAAGTTTCAACTGGGTGCACAGTCAGCTCTGCATCTTCTGGCCCATTTCTCTTGGGGTACCTTACCCCAAGGTCTCATGAGCTAACCTGGTAGGATAGATGTTCCTTATACCTGATCTACCCATTTGAAGGTGAAGTTTTCCACGCAGCTGTGCCAACATACCCTTATTTTTGCATTTCTGTAGGGCTTTGGCTCTGAACTGTAGTGCTCCGATCAACGATAAAGATGGTGCAGAGGCTAAGGACTGGAGAGCTGGAAAGCCAGTCAGAGTGGTACGGAATATGAAGGGGGGCAGGCACAGCAAGTACGCCCCCAAGGATGGGAACCGATATGATGGCATCTACAAGGTAGGGAGACCGGTGCTGTGTTGGCCTGTTCAGATGGAACATCTGTGTGTGGAATTTAAATCTCCCATTTCCTTTCGAAGGTGGCAAAATACTGGCCTGAAACAGGGAAATCTGGCTTCTTAGTGTGGCGCTACCTTCTCAGGAGAGATGATGAGGAGCCAGCCCCTTGGACCAAGGAAGGGAAGGAGAGGGTGAAAAAACATGGTCTCACAATGCAGGTGAGCCAGGCAATGAGGTGCTGGGCTATTTGAAAGGGCTGTCTCTGTTGCAGCTCCAGAAAGAAATTGTGGGAAGGCATGATTCGGGCACATGCGCTGGCCAGGCATCCACTCCTCTCTCTTGCATGCTGCTCTGCATACTCAGGATGATGCAGTCCTCCTTGCTGCTTAATGGATTTCCTTCATTTTACGCGAGTGGCCATTCTGCTCAGATTCCTGCTGTGTTCTCCAGTAAGCAGCTCTTCTAATGTCTTGCTTTTAACAGCCATTAAAACATGCAGAAGGATCCGCAGCTTTAGCTTTTGCCCCAACAGCTGCAGTGCAACATGACTGCATGTTTTGATGGAAGGTGATTTATTTTGGTAATATCCAGTAGGCCATTTAGGTGACTTTCTTGGCAGAATTTTTCCATTGCTATCAGCATGCACAGGGCCAAGAATTGGCAAGATCCATGCTGCCCTCAGTGGATTTCAGGTGCATACCAGCAGTTGGTGGCCAGAGAGAAGGAGTTTATGGCTGATCTACCAGATCAGATGTACTCCAATCTTTCTGACCTAGCATTATGTTGGGACAGTGGAAAGGACGGTTTTTTTCTTCCTGGGGCAGAGTTATGTCATAGCTAACCTGCTTTTTTGCATCTTCAATTTAGTATCCTGAAGGGTATCTGGAAGCTGTTGCTAATAAACATAAAGAAAATCGCAAGAAAAGAGAGCAGGTTCAAACTACAGGAAAAGGGAAGAGGAAAAGAAAATCTGGTAAGTTTCCCTTCTTGAACAGACAGTTTTCCTGTTTAGTTTTCCCTGCACCACCTGAAGCAATCCTGTTCAATCGATCTCTTTTCCAGGGACTGATACAGATCACTCACTCTCTCCTGCTGGCACATCGAAGAGGATTAAAGTGGCAGTCTACAAGCTCACACCCCAGCAGAAATCACTTATCAAAGAGGATGAAGCCAATGCGAAGCTGTGGAATGAAGCACTGGAAGCCCTTAAAGATGGGCCAGTAAGTGTGGGCTGGGTCACACGGATCTTGATTGACAGCTGGTGCTCAGTTGGGTTTGTCCTGAATGAGTCCTCATCTGCACAAGTAGCAGAATAGTGCGGTTGAGTTCTTAGAGAATGGAGAGGCAGCTGTACCATTCTGCACCATAGGTGAGATATTTTTGCCAGGATCCCCACATTTTAAGAATAGCACAGAACAAAACCCAGGCTCCCTGAAAGAGGAAGTGTAGTGCATCAAGGAGAAGGTTTACCCTTAACACTTAAGGGTAGTTCTTTTGCCCAGGGATTGGTTCTGACCTGCCCTTTCCATCACGCCTTGGTCTTCTCCCCTTTATCCATGCCTGGTGCTGCCAAAGCATTTCTCCTCTCTCTTCCCCCTCCTCTGCCAGTAATATTTTTTTGCATTTTTTCCCTGAACTGTCAGAGTAGTGTTAACCTATTTTTCCACTGTTGTCCCACACTCCTCCTCTCCTCATTAGTCTGCCTCATGCGACCATCTCTCATCACTTGGCTTTCCCCTCTCTACCCCGTGTGCCTCAGAGTCCCATTTTAATATCAGTAATGCAGATAAAATACAGCATTTTAATGTTATAACTTTCTGAACAGCTTCACTGCATACAGTTTGCATTTAATATTTCATTGTTCCTTTGTCTAGGATGATTAACAAGTATGATATATAAAATAGAAACGTTAGGCAGCAGCAGATAAAAAGCAATTAAAAAGAGCCACAATACTAAGTCCATCGGGGAGAATCATGAAATAACGTTATTGATAGTTTCCATTAAAAGCAATTCAGACTAAAAACACTTGAGAGAGTCATACTTCAATTTAGCCCCCATAGGCCCCCAAGTCTTCCTTAAAAGCGGAGCTGGATGACTTGAGACACTCTGGATGTTTCAGGCATCAGCTCCTAGGAGCCCTAATGATTGGCTGTGCCGGCTAGGGCTAATGAGAGTCCCCACCCCAAATGCTTTGGTCATTTGGTCAATGCAAAGGTGCCCATGCCTTTCTGTAAAGGATATGGTAGTGCCATGAACGAAGATGTTCTTTCCACAGTGTCGCAGGCCATCAAAGAAAAGGCAGGAAAATCCCAGAGTACTGGCAGTAGTGAACAAGGTTGCCATGTCTGTGCACTCCTCGGGCAACCCACACTTAGCACATTCTCATCGTATAGTTGTGATGCTGCAAGCACGCTCTGCCACAGCTAGAGCTGCCTTCTCTAGGGGGAATGTTCAGTAGGCATTGGATGTTTCTGGCAGCTGGAATAAGGGGAGGACAGGGAAGGCAGTGCTCTTGACAACTCCATCTCCATCTCATGCCAGAAGTTCCTGAACAAGGTGGAAGAAACCTTCCTGTGCATTTGCTGTCAGGAGGTGGTGTTTCGGCCAATCACGACTGTGTGCCAGCACAACGTGTGTAAAGTGAGTAGTGCTCTCTTTGTTACTGTCCCTCTTCTGGAATATTTACTTTCCTTGGGTTGCAAGAGTCTGCGCTGCACCATGCTTCAGTGGCTTTGAGAATGTTCTGGATGGTGGTGGGGGCTGTCTGGGGAAAGACCAGCTTCACCCACATGCAGAGCCGAACAACAAGGTTCACAGCAGGAGGAACACAGTCCAAAAGCTCTGTTGCAACTATTATCATGTCACCTCAGCACAGATGTCAAGAGCAGGTCTAACAATCCAGAGACCTCATTCCCCATAGTTAAAGGAGACGGGGAATGAGGTCTCCTGGATTGGTTAGACCTGTTCTTGACATCTGTGACAGTTAGTCTTGAAGAGCTTGTTGGAAAGGCCCCTTTCAGCCTACTGTGGAAGTGGCAAGCTGAAACCTGCCTGTGGGTTTGTTTTTATTTGGGAGTCCTCTTTTGTGATCTGAGGTTTTCAAACTGAGAGCATTTCACCTTCAATTATTAGTGGTTGAGACTGTCGAATATAAATGTTTCCAAGAGCATCCTGCAGCCTCCACTTCTCAAAGTGGTTTCGCTGTCACCGAGCAAAATCAGGTGCTTCAGAAGCTGGGGCTTGGTGGGTTATCTGTGTAGGAGGAATCACTGCTGTTCCACTTGAAGTGGGTGAGTGATGCACAAGTGTGTACAACCCTTAGTGTATGTGTGTGTTTTCTTCCAGGCTTGTCTGGATCGATCTTTCCGAGCAGAAGTATACAGCTGCCCTACTTGCCGCTACGACCTTGGCAAAAACTACACGATGCAAGTGAACCAGCGCCTGCAGAGTCTCCTAAATCAGCTCTTCCCAGGCTATGGAAATGGACGGTGATCCCCAAAAGCACTTCTAATTTCCTTAAAATGTTTTGTCCCCTGAAAAACCTTTATGGGGTTTTGGTGGGGCTTTATTTAAATAAATAGCCTTCCAGAAAAGCTTTTTTTTTTTTGTCCTTGTCTCCTCTTCCTTCCCCTCCCACCCCAAAACTGTGGACCTGTTCACATGTTAATCACCACTCATGGGTGCTACATAGCCTTTTTCATCCTGTTTGGAAATGTGTTCCTTGGGGTTTTGACATGACATGCAAACGTATAATTTTGGATTGCTGAGGAGGAAACAATTCAGAGTTTGTGAACTCCTGGTTTGTTGTCAGATTAATTCTGAGTTTTTTCCTTTCCACAAACCAGAGTTCTAGGTTGTTTTCCAAGCTGGATTCAAAACTGATGTGGTGAGTGTGCTGGAGGCAACTTGTCTTTGCATGGCCCTGGCCCACCATGGTCAATTACCTAACCCATAGTTGTTTATATGTGACTTGGGTCTTTAAAGGTTGAGGAACCTGCTTATGTATTTGAGGTAGCGCTTGTGTTTAATTAACATTAACAAAAACTTTGACAAGAGCACAGGTTGTAGGAATTCCAGATTGCTTATTGTAAATGCGCTACTGTATTGGACAATTTCAGTTCCCAATGGAGTTTTTTTTCCCCAAAACAAAAAATATCATAGGGCTTGGTTGCTACAGTCTCTAAGGTTATGGATTTGGGACAGAAGTTTGATGCATTTTTGTTGTTGCAGCATTCTTAATGCTTAGGTACAATGAGAGTCTCTGCATAAGGAGTTGCCTGCCACCCAGGGTTCAGATCCCTAGTTTCTGGTCTTGTCAATTCTGATATAAGCTCTTTATCAAGTTGCTTGTCTTGAGGGCCCATGTATAAAGTTACTACCTCAGTCTCTGCATTTGTCAGCTAGATGCTGCCTCTTACTTGCAGTGCCATATGTGAAAAGTAAAAGCCATTCAGAAGTGCCTTCTTGCCCCCTCCCTCCTGCGCTTCTTTCCTTGCTTGGAAGACTGAATCATTTTTTTAAAGCACTGAAGATTCTGAAATCAGCCAATCAAGTCTTGTTCTTGGGGATCATTACTTGTAACACACTAGATCAGTGGCTTTTGATCATTTAGCTATATGTTTTACTGCTAATTTTGAATCTGCTTGTTCTACTTGGAATGAAAAATGAGACATGTAACTTGCTTTTAAAGGGAGAAGGCTTGGTTTTATTTTCGGTGTTTGTTGGTTCTTGCCTCAACAATACCAAAACTCTACAGGTCAATACCTCAGTGTAAAACAGGGTTAATAATAAATCATTCTTCACTTTGGACAGACTGGAACAAATGTGCTTGTTTTTAGTTGCTTTATATATGTATAATATTATTTGAGTAAAGTAGCTTGTTTTGTCTTTCTGGATTTTGCCACAGTTTTGTATAAACCAGGAGTTCTCAAAATAAAATGCCTTTTCATATCAAAGCTATCATGTGTTGTCTTATAATTTGAATTTTAAGTTAGGAAACTCAAAACTTAGATTTGTGTGGCTGGAAGTCATGCAGATAACTTGAGATTCTGCTGTAGTTTTCCTTCTCTCTCTACTATTCCCCCGTGTGCTGCCTTGTCCAGCAGTTAGCCTATCCACCAAAATCTGGCTGTGTTTGTGTTTCCAGAATATGAATTGAATCCTGGTAGGAAGTTTTAAGAAAACTGCTAGCATTTGCAATATTTTCAGAGGAATGTAGATGTTTGGTGGTGCTTTGCTCTTAATTGCATGGAAGTGGTCTTCTATCCTGAACCATGTATCAAAATGGGGAAGGAAAGCAGAGTGTAGGGTGTAGAAATTAGGATCAGAGAGGGGATGTGCATTCCATATGTCAGAATCTAAAAAGCCAGATACCCAGTACTTACGGGCTTTTCTAGCCCTTAAAAGGGGGCAAAGTAAAAATGTATAGGAACAAGGTGCAAAAGTTGCACTGACATTTGAGCTTCTGTGATAGTGTTTCATAACAGCTGTTTCAAACTTCTAAAGGAAGTTCTGATTTTATATATTGCATTTTATTACCTGTTTTATGGACTGTAGTAAACTTCCCAGAGAGCTTTGGCTGTGGGCAGGATAGAAATGAAACAGGTAAATACCTTTGAGTAGATTTCCCAGGAAGTACACAGGTGAGTTAGATCAAAAAGCACTCCAGAACATTAAGGGTGTGGCATGCGCAATATTTTTTTCTCTTCCTGAGTAGCAGACATGTATAGCGTCGAGCAGTCTTAAAAGCTCACCTAGACTTGAAGGCAGTTTTCCACATGGAGCCAGGCACTCCTTACTGGGGAGTTTCTGTCAATTCAAGACTCTTTCAAAAGTGGGGTTTTAAATTATGTAGTGTCCAGTTTTAGTTTGACTGCCTCAGTAGTACAGGACATTACTTGCTGTTTCACTATTAAAACATTAGCATACTTGCTGCTCCAAGTAGAGGAAACCCCCTGACTGCAAAGTACAGTGGTACCTGGCTCACGAACTTAACCTGTCCCAGGACTCTGGTTGTGACCCAAATTGGTGGTGAGCCAAGTCAAATTTCCCCATAACATTCAATGTAAATAAGGTTAATCCATTCTGTAACTTTTTTTTTAATCACAAAAGTGGGCATGATCGCGATGGTCACCTGATGCGGAGTGTGCAACCTGAGGCAATTTTTTTCAGAAATTTGCTTGCGACCAGATTTGGTCTTGAACTGAGATGTTTGTGACCACGGTAATTGCAACTTTGTAATTGCAATTGCAAAGGCAGTGCCATCCTATGCTTAATTACCCTTTTTTAGGGTACTAAGCCACCCTTCCCCTAACCCAGCATGCACCAGAAGTTTTTCTGCTTTTATCCCTCAGTCAGCTATGATAGAGGTTGTAGTCTAACATGCCTATAAGGCTGGTCTAATCTATGCCTACTCTGAAGCCAGAAAAAGAAGAAAAAACGTTAGAAAGATGTAACAGGCACTGGGTGGTGGAGATTTCTCGACCCTCTCCAAAGCTACTGCTAGATGCTAGGAGCAAGCACCGTTCATCAAAGACTAACTTCTGCATAAACATGCACAGGACGGTTTGACTCCTTATCCGCAAACTTGTGGCTGTAGGGCCGAAATAAGGAATCCTAGAATCAAGCCTTGAAGGCCACTTTGCCCTGATCGATTAAGGAAATTCACAGCAGGAGCCTTTGCCTGAAGGCCACCCAACCTCCGGGGCATGTATGTAATTCCATTGTCAAACTGAACTTAAGATATTTCTTCAGATGGAAGTACTTTCTTGCAAGTTAAGCGCCTAAGGGCAGTTCTTTGCCATATGGGGCAGCAGCAAACCTGCCTTGTTCTCTCTATGGTATCCCTCTGGGTATTAGAGGAGGGCTGTCCTATTTTCTCTCCTCTCAATCTTTCAGGCTAAACAAATCCTTCCCCCCGATATCCCCGTTGCCTTCTTACTGAATCCCTTTTCGTCTGCTTTTCTTTGGAGACCCGGCCCCTTTTGGTTAAAAAACAACGGGCTTGGCCCCCTTTCTCCTTCACAACAACCCTGAGAGGTAGCTCGCGGATGAGATGAGCTGGTGACTGTCTCCCAAGTCCTAGGCTTGCTTGCAGATTTGGAACTCTCAAGCTCCCCGGAAAGCGAGGAGGTGGATTGCTTCCTAAAAAGCTTTATTTGCAGCCGCCATTTCCTTTTCGATCTCCCTACCCCTGACCGTTGTTGGTTTTGAGGAACGCTGACCTAACAATGCATTGTGCAAATGGGGGTTTGCAAGGGAGAGGCTTGCAGAAGGGCGTGGAACGTCTTCGGATTTAACTTGCAGAGGCGCCCTTCTCCCCCGGGGCGGTGGGGAGGGGAGAGATAGCGTCCGTCCCCTCCCCTATTGGTGCACCGAGCCCTGCAGCCCCCTCCTCCTCCCTCTGCTGCTGTGCACGTCCTCACGTACACCGCCTGCGCTGCTTTACAATGCCTGCTCGCCGAGGGGGCGGGTGGATAGAAAGGGCGTGGCGGTTCCGAAGCTCCAGCCATGCCCACCTCCCCCTTATCGGCCGGTGACCAATCACAAGCGACCTGCTACCCGTAGGCGGGGCCACTTGCTCCCCTAAGCTGCCTTCGCATTGGCCAAGCGCGAAGAGGGCGGGGTAGTTCCGAGAGCCGAGGCGGAAGAAAAGCAGGGAAAAAGGGACTGGAAGAAGGGAGGCGGGCTTTGCCGGGAAGAGAAAATCGGAGTGGTCGTGAACGCCGCCACTCTGCCGGGCACGGCCGCCGCCGCCGGAGTTGGGTCGTGGGGCTGCTACTCGACGCCCGCTCACGGCCAATCGGCGCTGTGCGGGGGCGGGCGCTGCTCGGCCGTTGGAGGAGGAGGAGGAGGAGGAAAGAAATTGGCAACGGCAGCCCTCCCCAGCCGCCCCTCCCCCCTCGCCGCGCTCGCGCTGAGGCGACTTGCGGAGGCCGCTGAGGCGGCGGCGAGCGGGGCTCCCGGAGGAGGGCGGCGGCGGCGGCGACCGACGACGACGACTGGAGCCGCGGACGGGTGAGGCCTTGCGGCGGCATGGCAACAGGGCGGGGGGATGGGGATGTTGGTGCTGTTTTACCTGGGGAGTCGGTCCGTGGAGCGTGGGGGAGGGGCGCGGCGGGGGCTGGTCCGGTCCGGTCCGGTCCAGTCCGGGGCATGATGGCGGCGGTGATGCTCTCCGCGGCCCTCCGCGCCGGCGGGACCTCGCGCAGCCACTCGCCGCCGCCTGTGGCCCCCGCAGGAAAGGGATGCTCGGCGCATTGTTGTGTTCTCTTCCCCTCATCTCTTGGCCCACCCCTTCCCCGGCCGCCCCCCGAGGCCTTCCTTGGGGGCCCCTTCCCGACCCCGAGTTTCCTCATGTTCAGCCTTTGTTGACGGTTTGGTGTCTTGATGGAGGTTGGTGTGGACGAGAGGGCACCTAGAGAGGCACGACCAGTAACTGCAGCCCGGTCGGTTTTTGTTTCCTTTATTATGATATAAACAGGAGAAGTTAAGCAAAGCAACCGTGTGGGTCTGAAGCACCTCGTCCCGTTTTTGTGTGACCGGGGTCTTCGCTTTATTAAAAAAATAAAGTTTGCAGCATCGTTGGGGGATGTCGAGTTGGTGGATGCTCCAGATTGGCCTTTCACGCCCCCCCCCCCCTTTGAGGGAGTGGGATGAATGCAGATCTGCTCAGCTGTGGCATTGGCTTTGTTGACTGCGGCTGCTGGAAGGTAGATTCCCACGAGTTTAGAGGGCCCGTAAGGTGCATCCTCCCGTAAGGTGGTCAGCATTACAAAGAACTTGAGAAGAGCCCTGTTGGATCCGATCAGGCAGGGGCTTGCTTAGCCATCAAGTGTGCCATTCTGCTCCTACAGTGACTGGCTAGCGCCCCCCCCCCGGAAGCCCAAAAGCCAGGCATGTGCAACAGCACCCATATTCCCCTGCAACGGATGTACAAAGGCGTGTTGTTTGTGATCCTAAACACAGCATACTGGCCCTCTCTTCCCCTGGCAACTTATTCAGCCCCTTTTTCAAATTCATCCAGGTTGGTGGCAATCACTGCCTTGCGGCAGAGAGTTTCTTAGTTTAGCTCTGCCTAGTAAACATGCCGCTGGAGGGGTCCTTCCCCCTTAGTGGTAGCAGGGGTGCAAAAAAATGAGAAGTGGAAGAAGTGAGTTCACAACACTTCAGCTGAGAGATGGTTTGGTGAATCTTGTGTTCCCTCATCCCATTATTACAAAAGGGAGACAGGCAAGCAAGCCGTGTTGCATTGTAGTTCAGTTTCCCAGTTTGGTGCCCTCCAGGTGTGTTGGACTACAACTCCTACCATCCCCAGTCAGTGTGACCCTTTGGTCAGGGTTAACAGAAGTTGTATTTCAGAAACATTTGTAGGTCTGTCAGTTCCACCACCCCAGTTGGTCGTGTTTGCTGGGGGTGATGGCATGTGCAGTTTAGTGCCTGAGGGAGATTTTGGAGGCTGCTGTAGTGTGACCAAGAAAGAGTTTGTATGCTGGCCCCAGCTGAGGGGGATAAATGAATGAAGAAATCCAAAATGGATTCCCAAAATTTCCTTCTCTTATCTTCACCCCATTACTTTCCTCAGAAATTCAGGGTGTGGCAAGGGAAGGGCTAATTCGTTTTGTAGAAGGCAGTGCTTTGCTGGGATGCTCCCCTTTGTTCTTGTTTTTTGTTTAGGGAGTCCCGTGCTTGGAGTGCAGGGAATGGGAAGAGGGGTTGAAAAACTATTGTGTGGATGGCAGGTGGAGAAAGTTAGCTGGGAGATAGCGAGATATGTTCATACTTATGCGTTAATATAGTGGCTTCTGGGGTGTATTTATGCAATTGCACAAAGGGAAGCTAACAAGCAGGTGGCACAATGTTACATGTGACCCAGAGAAGCTGAGAGGAGTTGGGTGGGAGATTTTACTCCCAAACACTGAGCCACCCAAATCTTTCTTCATTCCTTGTGGTTAACAACGTCTCCCCCCCCCCCCCCCAAGGTTAGCTGAGTGGGAACTGAGATCTACAGCTATGCTTTTTCTCCTGGAAGTGAATAATTGTGGTTAACTCTAACAAGAGGAATGAAAAGTGCTGTCCTGGAATGGTGCCTTGTTTGTGCACACTTCCTGCACAATATAGGGTCTCTGAAGTGTATGAAACTACCTGCTTTTTTTCTCCCTTCTCATAAAGATGGGCATTATGATGATGATAATAAAGATTCTGTAGATATTTTGTTGTTGGTGGTGTGGTGCTTTGTTGAAAGTTTCTATTTCATTGTGCAGTTTATGCTACCAAAGAGTGATCAACCTGAAAGGAGATTTAGGATAATAAAATTCTGGTCATCCTTAATACATTTTAATTTAGAGACCTTAAATCCTGATTTGAATTGATAAAACTTTAGACATGTCTGTAATGAAAACATGCTTACTTGCTGTTTAATGCATTTGTCAGATTAAAAACAAAAGTATGCACATGTGTATTTATAGCTTTTAATAAGCTGCACAATGTTCATGTGCACCTAATATTTCCTGGTGGTGCCTCACAGAAACCCTTAATCATCACGAATATCAACAGCAGTTACACATCTACTCAAATATAGGTGTGTATATTGGTATGGGCAACTTTCCAGATTTCTGTGGCCTGGCACTTCTGTCACCCCTCACTATTGGCTGGGCTGGCAGGAGGTGTCCAGAACCTTTGAGGGGTGGCAAATTGTTTGTCCTTGGCACATATGAATTCCTAGCACTTACGTGATGCTGCCACAGCTGTGAAGTGTTTTAGTATCATTTCTATATAGCAGAGAAGGCTGTTGGATGCCAGACCACATCCCTCCCCCCAGCTGTCCTTCCCCCAAACTTGGAGGTAGGGGAAATCAGTGATCTTTGCAGTTGTGTGGGCTTCCAATCCTGCTCATTTCCATCTCCAAAGTGTGGAAAATTTTTGCAACAAGTTGGCCACAGTGAACAAAATTGTGCCCTGCTGATTGTGATGGTTTTCAGGTTGAGCAGGAAATGGTGCATCCATCTGTAGGCTGGGACATGATACACTTGTGAGGTTGCAAGGAGACTATATGATGTAAAAGATGTGGGGAGGGGGTAAGTAAAGAGGAAACATCTTTAATACAGGGCACATGCGTGTCTCAGGCAGTGGGATACATTGTAGAAATGCTGTGCTGATGTTCATGTTTGCAGCCAGTGGATGAAGGAAGTTGTGGGTTGTTTCCTGTGAGGAAGATAACATTTTGTATATGGGAGGGTGCCTGTACAGCAGTAGTAGGATGCAACATTGTTTTTTAGGACAAGTGAAAATGTACTAGGTTCTGAAGAGCTTGAGAAGAGAACATGATCCTAGCTAGTTGTTCAGGAGTTCAGAAGTAAGACATGGGCTTTCACAATAGTGCCCTGTTGGTGACAATGCCATGTAGGCTCTTAAGATTAATTTATTTAAAATATTTATACCCCTTCCTATACACAAAGCATCTCAGGACAGCTTACAGAAATACAAACAATCCATAATCAAAAACAATTGACAATAATTAAGAATATAAATAAACCAACAGTAACATATCACCAAGCATTGTCCCCCTTGTCATGAGGGAGTATTTGAGTAGTGGGTCCACAAAGAGCTATGGAGATTCTTCCTTGAAGGGAATGCATGCTTGACTGAAATGTGATTGGTTGAGGATAGGCATTTGATAGTACTTATGTGAGGATAGTGCAGTAAAATTGTGTGTTCTGTAAGATGTGTGGAAGATTCTTTTGTGCTTCCCTTCCTTATGGTATGTGGGGCACCAAGAAATTTTCTGATAGTATTTCATGGAATCTTGAGTACTGAACAGAAGGCTTTAGATTGGTTGGTGGTGAATTTTTCAGAATTTGAAAAAAGCTGTACATGCCATCATTGTATCTAATAAGTTTTGTTTAGGAACATCCAAGGCACATGACCTATGCATATTTAGTCAGGAAAAGGTCCCAGAGCTACCAGCATGGTCCAGATAGTGATGCTGGCTATTTAGAATACTGGCAGTTGTAGCACAATGTCTTTTTCACATGTTTAACAGATGTATGTTTATGTCCTATGTTTAAGTATGCATAGGATTGTGCCTCAACTATATTGTAGTGTAAAATGTAAATACGTAAGTGCCTTCATGTTCACCATGTCTGATCATGACCAAAGGTAATGGCATTCCTTCCATCTTTGTGGGGTTCTTCGCCAGTGCATGACCACTGCCTTCCAGAGTATATACTTATTTGTGTGGGAGATGTTCTGGTCTGCTGAGTAATGCAGCATTGTTAAACCAGCCATAATTTTTCCCACACTCCAGAGGCAGGAGGAGATTTTCTGGGTTTGCGTGTGCGGCGTGGCCATCATTTTCATGGGTCTTTGGGGTGAGGAGATGTGCAGAAGTTCTTCATGGGCAGTAGCTGTGTTCTTTCAGGAGAGTTTCTGTCCCTGGCTTAAGTGTGTGGAGTTCCTTTTTTAATATTGGCATTGGAGATGCAATTCATGATGGAGTAAGCAGGGTTCCTCAAAGAGTTCTGTCAAGACATGTCAGTGACTTGTTATTTCTCTTCCCTGGGCTGATGGGGATGTAGAATTTATGTGAAATGGTCCCTTCATGAAATGTGTCACATTTTCAGAGTTTCCTCTTCTGAGTTCTCTTCTGACTGGAGGCAGAAAGATGTAGCCTGATGCTATGCATCTAGATATAAGAAATCTTATAGGTGCTGCTATACTGGCTGCAGTGTTAGTTTTGGAGCCTTATCCTTTGCTGTATCTCTGGGGTATAGGAGACAAAGGGGGGGATTCATCTTGAGCACTATTAAGATATTACTTTTTGTTAATATAAGGATATGCTTTGCAGGAAATAAGAGGACTACTGACAGGAATGACAAAAGGTTGCTTGACTGAAGGATTTTGTTTTGTTTTCCCTAGCTTTGCTGGAGTGTCTATTTAATATGGTCTTGGAGGTGATTCAGAGATTTGAAAGCATAAGTTTGGTGCTTCCCATTGTTTAAAAGACAAAGGGGAATATT